AGGCGGCGGGATGATGGGGCGGTTGCGGTTTATTTTACTAGAGGGGAGCTCGATGGGACGGGGGCCATGCCCCAGGATCCCAGGCTGCGCGACACCCTCCATACCCCGCAGTAGCAAAGCCGAAATGTTCCCCCCTCCCTAATGGAGTGGGTGCTGGGCGCGGCGCGGTTAACCTGGCCGACTGCCGCGGACATCGATGACGGGCTCACCGGGTGGACCGCTATCGCGGCAGGAATGAACCGGCTGCGGCAATCAGGAATGCTGTCCGGAATTTACTCCCCCGAGCTTACCGGACCAGATCAGATCCCCATGAGCAAAGATGACGGGCTCACCGGGTGGACCGCTATCGCGGCAGGAATGAACCGGCTGCGGCAATCAGGAATGCTGTCCGGAATTTACTCCCCCGAGCTTACCGGACCAGATCAGATCCCCATGAGCAAAACCATCTGGAGTAGGGTGCTGCGAACCACCCGCCCCCCCCTGCATCTTAAAGCGATGGTGCTACCTGTGATTGGGGGGCCGGGCACAGTGGGGGAGGCCGCAGCGCTGCTCTCCCGGGTAGCAGAGGCGTCCTCTGTTAGCAGAGGTGGGCAGCTGGGAAACAGGTGAGTAAATGTGAACCACAAAGAAAGGGTGAGCCGACCTGCGGCGGAGGGGCCCTCAGGATACACAGGGGGAGTCCTGCCTGGACATCCCACCTGGGCATCCGACCCTTGCCTCCAGCAGCCTCCCATCAGCGACCTCTCTGCATGGTTCCTGGGGGTCCGCAGTTTGGAGCATAAGTCCTTCATTAAATCTACTTTGTTTAACCCCTCACATGCCTGAGTGTCTCTCTACGTTGGTATCTGACCCTCCATTTCCTGTCTTGCAGTCACGCTGTCTAAAACTGAACTTTTGAACTCTCAAGGACAAGCCAGCTACTTGCTAGCTACAACTTTTTTGATAACATCTGGACTAAAAGTGGCAGGGGCTGAATCTTCCCTTTAATAGAGACATGAGGAAGAACCACCAATTAGGAGGTTGATCATGTGACATGTCGACCATTTAGATCAGGGAAGACCAAGGGACTTGAGAGCCTGGAAAGAAGGTGGTGAACTTCCTAGCTGGAGGATGGAACCTGGAAGTTGGGAAGATCTGGGAAATGGAGGTGAACTATAGAGACAAATGCTTTGGGATGTCCAGCAATGCTGGTAATGCCCAAGAGTGGTAACTGCAAGCAGCTGCACAGCATGGACCTGACCTTCAGTCTCACCTTCCTGGACCAGCAGTGATCTGCCTGATGGGAAGGGAAGTCACGATGTAGTGATGTGACCTGGGTGGGGGCAGGGTGAATGAATGTGTGAAATAATCAAGTAGGGCAAGCTACCACTATGAATGTTCATATACAAAAGAATAAGCCTCAAAATATTCCTTATGACCTGTTGTTCACAGAAAGGTCTATGAAAACTTTTTGAGATACTCCCTTGTTGACTCTTGATTGATTTACTTCACGGTCCTTCTTTTCGGGTACAAGAAAATTTAGAAGTTCTGTAGATATCAGAGCTGGAAATATTCATCAACCATCTGTGACTGCAAGGTGGGCAAGGGAGGGTCAGATCCTGGTGGAGAGAGACACTCAAGGTTCATGAGGGGTTAAACAGGGTTGATTTAATGAAGGGCTAGCACACCAGGCTGTGCAGGGGAACTGTGGGGAACTGTGTGGAGGGGTTGCTGATGGGAGGCAGCTGGAGGCATGGGTCAGATGCCCAGGCAGAACTTGACTCGTGGTATCCCGAGGGCCCCTTAAATCTACTAGAGCTATTTGCTTATCTCAGCTGTGCTAACCTTGAGTCGCTACTGGCTGGAAAGCAGCTAGACATTGTTGACAAAATGGAATATGCATGCCTGGCCCTGCTGGGAATTCAGTCAGTGTGTAGTTTCACACCCTGGGGCTGCTATCATGTACTCAGCCAGTCACCTGGCTCCTTACCAGATCTTCTGCAGGTGTCCTCACTACACCAGCCTTTTGATTTCTCACCCTGTACTGTTATAACGTGTATGCTCCATGAATTGTATCTGCCCCTGAATTTAAATTCTGTGGCATGTTTCCATGATGTTCTTATGCCTTAATTTTTTTTTAATAAGAGAATCTTTGTGCATAACTCTCAAATACCTTTATGTTGTTCATAATTCAAACTTTAATACAAATATTTTTCAGTCTTCACGCAGGCAGTCCCAGCATTTGTTCTAAGGTCAAACATATTACAACTAGATAGTTCTTATTCAAGTTGTGTTAGGTGTTAAGACTACATCATACTGAAGACTTTGGAAAGAGGATAGTGGCTTAAGTATTTGTAATATGGGAAATAAGCTGTTTTTTAATGAAAGATGCATTTAAAGTTGGACAATGAAATAATATTTGTCATATGGATGACATGTTTAAATAATACACATATTTTTTTAAGATCCACACATGGCAAGAATAAAAAATGAAAGCTGGGACACAACCTTAGCTAAGGAACTGATATAATTTAGGAGCAGTTATGTCATTTATTACCCTAAAACAATGGTGTTTTAAATACTTAGTTAATATTATAGGTTTGAGTCTGCAGATGCACATATACCATTACTGCAAACTAAGTCGCAAAAGAGGAATTTGGACACCTAAGCATACATACATGCAGTACTGGCAAGCCACTTCCTAAATAAATATTAGCAAAGTCTCAGCCTTGTCTGAGGTATTTTTGTTCTGTATTTTATTGTTGTAATTCTTACAGACATTACTGCTCTGCTAAATAAAGGAATGTAGCACAGTAAATACATCACACCAAAATAGCTGGCAATCCCCCATCCCCAAAATCCAAACTCCTCTTCCCCCCCCAACACCCCCAAACTCACCCCCCCCCATTGAACCACTGCAGCTTCATTACAGAGAAAGGGTCAAAGACCTGTGACAAAAAACATCAGAGAAATTACATTCAGATGTGCAATATCAATATTCTAGGCTCTCGGGAGATCAAGTTCAGTGTTACAAGGAACAATATTGTTACAAATACAATACTATGTCTTTCCCAATGCTTTATAATAATTTCCGTTCATCCTCTATACAGAACAATAGTACAAGAGAGTCTAGGTACTGCACAAAATATGTACAAGAGATCTCATGCACATTGTCATCTTCAGAAACTGATTTCATTTAGAAAATTAAGGAAAAAAAAACACAGAACAAATCTGGAAATTCCAACCAAATCTCAAATCAGAATGAGATTCAAAACAAGTGGGAAACTTGCTAATGTTTCATCTTTAATGTAACCATTGAAGAGTTAATAAGACTATATGAAGCACTGAAGAACAAAAAAACTTTTTGGACCTTTTACAGAAGAGGGAATGTAAAATGACAGTTTGTTCCTTTGTACCCATGGAGAATTCACACACCTAATCTAATGAACTGCTGCACTACTGTAGAAAAGTGCCAACTCTTCCTTTTGAGCTCATTTTTCTTGCAACAATCTTTACTTTTATAAGCTAAACTGGTGGGATTGTTTGCAAGACTTATCAGGAGTGCACGCATGCACACATACACACACAGGAAGCCTCTCAGTGTAGAAATTTTATACACATATTGCAACTGGAACAACAAAGATTCTTCACTAGGCTCCAATCCTGCAAGCATTCACATGCTTAGCTTTAAGCGTCTGTTCACCAGGAAGTAAATGTGTTAGGTACTCAGGTGCTTATTACTAGGTATAATCTTGATTGCAGGATAACAGCCTTCTTTTTAAATAAACAATTGTTTCAACTCCATATACTTTTGTACACTTAGGTTTTCTTCATCTCCCACTGAAGTCAATGGGAAGACCCCTCAACGCGAGTTGGATAGAACCACAAAAGCAACAAGTGACGCTGAAGGTGTAAAACACAGAAGAAATCAGAAGTGTGATAACTTTCTTCAAGACTTTGATGAGTTTCCTCAGGCAACTTATGGAAAGGCTGCACTATATATAATCTACTAAACTGTATATGGTTATATATCATATTTACATATATTACTTTTTATAGAAAGTTGTGAAAAAATTTCAAATGATCTCCATAAGTCAGATGTATACAGTTAAAAACTACTCACAAGTCATTCACAATCTATTTACAGCAGTCTGATAGCAGAGGTAAATACTAACCTAGAATACTAATACTCTTTTCTTGCAAAATCTGCTATTCCAGAGATCGAGATTAAATTACACAACAAGAACTGCAGTAACTCAAGTCACTGTATACTACTTTCACACTAAAACATATTCACTTACTACAATAGCTTATGCTCCATTCCATTATCTCCCTTAAATATTTACTGTCCATTCAACTATAAAGCTTATTTTCTCACTCTCTGTCTAGTTCTCTCTCTCTAGCTCATGTATGTCCATGGTTTCTGAAAGGCAAAAAACGTACCTCTGACCACAGATGGAAACCAAGTGCTCAGATAGAAACATAGTTTTTATAGTTCTCATCAACAGAACTGTGCATGTCTACACACACACATACATCCGTGGTATCTCTGGAGTAAAGTCCAGGTATCATTACTAGTCTCCAAACACAATGCAATGCACAATCACACAGAATCACAGAATCACAGAATGGTTTAGGTTGGAAGGGACCTCTGGAGATCATCTAGTCCAACCTCCCTGCTCAAGCAGGGTCCCCTAGAGCACATTTCCCAGGATCACATCCAGGTGGGTTTTGAATATCTCCAGCGAAGGAGACTCCACTACCTCTCTGGGCAACCTGTTCCAATGCTCTGTCACCCTCACAGTAAAGAAGTTTTTCCTCAGGTTTAGATGGAACTTCCTTCAGTCAATTCCACAATGATTGAGAAACCAATGACTGTGAGCAGTTTTAAGTGAGAAGGCTGGGATTTTTTTTCCATGTGCGTCCTGGTCTTATTTTTAATTACATTGAGCCTTTATATCACAGTACAACACAGCAGAAACTGTTGCTTCCAAAAAATTCAAGGCATCAGCCTGGTCTAAATATATGTTTCAATTTCAGTGTAAACATCAGTATGCAGTACTGACAGAATGTAGCTACATACAACAGAGCATTTTCTTCTTCCTGAGGAAAAAACAGCCACCTGCTGCTTTATTCTTTAACTATTTTTCCTCCTTTGTCCCTGACATTGATTATTGGTTATAGACCAAGCAAATCCTGGATTTCATACATCTCTACATTTCTTCTTCATACAAGTTTGTATAGTACTCACACATATCCTCTAAGTGTCATATGGAAAAAACAAATCACAAATTAACTTATATAACAAAATAAATTTATTCCTACGTTATCTTTACTTCTCCCATTTATCTATGTCTAAAGAAAAAAGTCACTAAAATTAGACAAATCTTTTGACAAAAAACTGGCTCAGAGTAACAAAATTACTTAGAACAGTGTGCAGACCTATTATTTTCAAGCTTCATAAATATTAAGCAATTGAGCACAATTTAAAAAAAAGTCTATATACACCAATGCACAGCTGTGTGCACCAAATCTGGAATTAAGAGTTTAGAAAGTATAGCTTCTCAGTATAGCCCCTCAATATTAGTCTTGCTGGATATTTAGAGATCATTCCCCCCTCCTGAAGAACTGATAAATGAGAATTAAAAGGTGTGCATTTGAACAATCATTTACTCATTCTTCATAGGCATGTAACTCTTCTTTTTTGTGAATCCTACTATGGACATTGCTGCTGTTATTTATCTTGTGTGTGTGTGTGTGTGGAATTGCGTAAAGCTTTACTTGTAAAGAGATGCAACTAAAAAGTCTCATGGATATATTTCCCCTCCCCCTCCATACAGAGCAAATGTTGGGGAGAGAGAGAAATGTCTCTGCAGACACAAATGCAGCAGTAGAAACACAAGCACTAATGAGGAAAAACATCCCCCATGCACGTTGTGAAGGTAAGGTGTCAGCCTTAGATATAAACTGGTTGCTCTTGTGCAGTCAACAGTCTGTACATGGCAGCTGGCATGGTCTTCATATGAATCTACAAGGCAATAAGACAACTTAATCAATACACTTATTAGGCATATTGCCCAAAACATGAGCATCCCATAGCCTAGGGAGCACTGGGGAAGAAACTAGCTGAGGTAACATAGGACAAAAGGGAAAAGCCTGAGAATTTTCATACTCATACTAAGGTCTGGGGGAAGGGGATTCTCTAAGGTATCGAGTATCCACCCACCATCTCAATTTTATCTGAAGATGTGGGCATTTCAATAATAAAAGAAACCTTGGTAATTCTCACTCTCACTTCTAGTATTTATGTTTGAAAAGTAACAAGCCAAAAGAGGCAATGATGATGAAACGTGCAATACTGTCTAGGCACACTGCCTGCTCCTACCTCACCAACAGCATTTGAGAGAATGTGAACAATTTTCTCATGAGGTGTTGCTACAACACTTTGCCCATTGATTTCAATGATTCGATGACCAACTCGCACTCCTCCTCGCTCTGCTATACCTCCTCTCATAAGGCTACAGATCTGGAAGGGAAAGGACAAAATTATCAAGATTTTGATTTGGAACAGAGGCTTTAGATTATACATTTGTCTGCAAATTATAATACAATATTTAAATACATGTGTCTGCAACAAAGTCTAAAACGTAGTGGATTACTGATTCAAAGTAGCATTTATTAGTAATCAAGTACTACACATTCTCTTCCAAGAGCAAAAGAACTCATCTACCAAAAGCTATTTGTATTATACTTCAGAAACTCTGTGGTTTGAAAAATTAAGAGTGCATAAAGAATCATAGTTTACAAAAAGTTCAGAGCGCATATGCCTTGCATTAAAAGAGAATCAAAGACAGACTCCTCCTTTTGAAATCATACAATGGTCTCAAAACACACAAATGATGCAGACTGAAAGCAGCCTTCTCCATACACTTTTGTTTCTTTAACCTAAAACAGCCTTTTTATTCTTCTGATTGACTCTAAAGTTATGAAATAAAGTTTATTTTCTTACCTTTGACTGGGAAAAAAGTCAAAGAAGAATAACTTTGACCAGTTCAGCTTTTATATCTTAAACTTAACATGTGTACTGAGCCCCTATTGCAGTGAGGAAAAAAATGTAATTCTCCACATATGCAAAATTCCACATATGCGAAAGCATCATCAGAAGGTCTGGAAGCTACTTACAATCCCATTCTGTACACTGAAGCCCAACTGGTATCTGAGGTCAGGTCTCCTGATCAAGACTGTGGTTACTGGAGGACATCTAACTATGTTCAGTTTAACTTGGGCTTGGTTTTTCAAACCCTGCAAAAAATGCCATCACCATGAATAATGCTGACAAAAATGAGGTGAAACAATTTAATGTGAGCACTAGAAAAAACAATAGTTAGAATGTTAATGCATCATTTTGGAACAGGATTTCTGAATACCAGACATGAGCAATAGGATGCTCAGTCCTTGTCTAGAAGCTGATGGAGTCATTTTAAGAAATCTAGCTTCCTGCTGGCAATTTCTTTATCTGAGAACACAAATTGTTCTTCTAAAGGAAGCAAAGGAAAGAAAAAGAAGCAGGTCTATGCAGTTGACCAAAAAACTGCCAAACATTCTGGCTGGGAAATGAAATTTTAAATATACAGTTAAGATAGATAGTTACAAAAAAGTGGCTTTTCTGATGGGGTATGTTCAATTCTGTAATGCGAATGTCAAGTCCTACTCATCTAATGCTTGCATAAGCAATACTCACATTTATATTCCCCCTCTTTTCTAAACTGAATATTATCATATCCACCATGAAATCTTTGCTACCAAAAGAACAAAATGAAGAAGAAAAACACAATCATAAAAGTGGAAATGACTGCAGAGTCTGACCATTACACAATTTCAAGCATTCAGAGCTCTTTCTTGTAGATCCACAACTCCAATGTTAGATTATTTTTTTCTTTACAACATACAGAATTGAACACACATTACTCTTAAATGTTGCATTCACACATGTGATTAGCCTTCAATAAGCAGAACCCATACAGGAAAGAGATGCTATGTAAAGAGTACAGTAGCTTAAAGCTTCCCTCATGTTAACATTTATCAATTCCAATGCCTGCCTTTGAATTTTCTTCATATGCACAAAGTGAAATATGGGTCCCATTGAAATCAATGGGTTGCCTGCCACTGACTTCAACAAGATTAGGATTTCATTCAGAAAAATAATTCCTATTACAGCTAAGTACTATACTGACATCTCCACATGCAGTTTACTGCTGCTGATTTTGTTGAGCCTAACTCTAGACTTGGTACTGACTTGAGACTGACATTCTGCTGGGACAAACAGTCAATGCCTCTAACTGCCTGGACATGACAGTCACACAGTCTCTGAATCTGTTTCTGATAGTAGTTAGAACCAGATGCTTCTGAAAAAGACATAAGTAACATAATACAATTCAGGAATAACCATCACACATGGAAAGTTTCTTCCTAGTTCTGTCAGTTTGTAATTGGTTTATAGTCAATTAGCAGCAAGGCTTACATCTCTAATTTAAAAATAAGATTAAGTGAAATACTTGCAAGATATACTCCTCATCTATATAAAATGCTTATCTTTTCATAGGGGTCCCTATAGCATGCTAAAAAAATTTGCAATCTTAAGATATTTCTGCAACATTTAAATGTATGCTTAGGTGACTGTTTCATTTGGGGGTTCATTTGTGTGTTATCCAAAAATGTTACATAAACAGCTTCAGATACATGGCTATAAAGACCTGTGAATGCATGGACTACCTTCTTAACAGAAAGATAAATGGCTAGCAGTTCCTATGGCAACAGCCTCATTTATCAATGAAAAAAGGCCTCTAAAGGCAGGAGACAGCAAAGTTGGCCCTTTAATTGTTTTTGTTTTGAGAAAATACAGAAGATTCTTAATGCTTCACAGCAAAAGTCCTTCTGTATGAGAATACATCATAGTTTTAGAAATAAAACTGGTATGGGATAAAAAACAAGTATGACAAAGCAGATAACATGAAGGGCTTGTATTCAAAGTGTTGAGCTTTGTTCCACTGAAATTGGCACAGAGATATTTAATAAGATGGCATTTTTCCCCTTCAGGAAAAAAAAAAAGTGCTTTTATCAAGGTTTTAATATACTGCATTCATGGGGTATCATTTGAAGTCACTGAATCCAAAACAGTTGGGCTCAGAGACTTAAGTATCTATTGCTTGTCAGGGCACGGTGTTTACTTTTTCAGAAACCAGAATATCAAGTCTTTAGAGAAAATTTTTTTGTTCAAGCATTAAGAAATGAATCCATGGGCAACAAAGACATACTTATTTTGTGAATTACTAAACAACTTTTTTTTTTACTGCAGAACACCACTACCTAACAGGGACACAGAAGGATTTCTATACAGTCAGATACAGCATTACATTACATGTCTACGTGCTATAACATGCAGCAGTTCTGTGGTGATTGACTATTTCAATAGGTAACCCAGAACACAATTTAGCTGAATCTCCCACATTCTCAAGGGGTGCATCTTTTCCCCTCCTGAAACTTTGATGTTTAAATACCCATTCTCTTGTATGTTGCAGCTACCCCAGAGACTCTTCATTTCCAGTTGACTCACCTGCTTTTTGCATTTACATGCTCTCATGTCAATTAGAAGAAAGTTCGTCCAATTAAAATATCTCACCATTTAGCCAAGTTCAGAGAAACGTTACACTTTCAAATACACTCAAGTTGTTTCTACAGAGAATAAATATGCTTAACTTTTCTTTTAAATTCAAAGTTTTTAAAATTGTTTTCAAAAAACAAGCTTTTTAAAAAATGTCTCAGTTCTCTAGGAACCAGAACATAGGAAGCATTTAAATGGCTAAAATGGCACCAAGGCAGATTTTTAGGCACCTATGTCTCAGACTGTCATGTGAAGTTTTAGGTGTCTCCAGATCATAACAGGCATCTTCCTTTTGGATTCAAATATTCCCTTGGGGCCTGAAGTCCTGCACTGTGCCCTGATCTAAGCAGCTAAATGCATAGCCCCCTTGTCAAGGCTCAGAAAATAGATAAAAGAGAATTTGCCCTCTACTTTAAGGTCATCAAAAGGAAAACTGCTATAAAACGCACAAGTTCAGCATTAACAAACAAACAAATAGTTCTATACTTTTTGCTCTCCCACTAATCCAATAAAGGTTTTGAAACATTTAACATCCAGGAATATTCTCTGTACCTTTATAATGCTCTGGCATGTTGAGAGTGGTAAGCCAACCAAACTGGTCCCATTAATTGACATGATCTGGTCCCCTATGTTTAGTTTCCCAGACTTCTCTGCTGGTCCTCCATGCATCATGTTGGCTATGATAACTGTAGGCAAAATTGATCCCCAGCCAGATTCCACAATCACTACACCTAGAATTTCTCCCTTTTGCTTTTCAATGTAAACCTGAATCATAAGAAAGAGAGTTTCAAACAAAAGCGTTTTCTCATCTATGGAACTGATGAGGGCCCCCCACCCCCACTCTCATATGTTTACACATAAACAAACACACACTTCTCGTTTGCAAAATGCCTTTCTTATTCAAAGGTAAAACACAATAGGGTATATAGTTTAACACAGTTTAAATTAATTCAGCTATGAAATAACATTAAAACTAGAGATTTTGTTTAATGCAAAATCTGCCTCAAACAGAACTCATCTGTGCATATGGGTGGAGGGAGCTGGGGTAGAATAGACTCTGGCATGATGGGCTTTGGTGGGCAGAACTAAGTCAGGGAGGGATTTAAAGTGTTTGTGACTGTGTTTTGGGAAACGATTACCTGTGTTTTGTAGTGATACACTAGTTCATCTTTATTAATAAAAACAAGTAGCAAATATATAGTCTTTTAAAATCTGGGGTCAATCTCTCTTATCAACCCTAATGCCTCCAAAAATTTTATACTGTCTACTGCATTAATAAATTTTTTTTAAATACACTTCACTGACATGCAATGTCTCAAATGTGAAAATTGTGCGGTAAAAAGAGATGGTAAATCATTTCACTACTGATAAATTTAGGGTTCACTGTTTGCTCTTAAAACATAATTGCTCATGGGATATCCTACTGGGGAGGATATAAATGACCTCAGTGAGGTCATTTATAGGAAGCATTAATAGTTTTCTAATTGTTGCCACTACAGGTCTGAATTTGGGACAGATATGCTTAATGGTGTTATGGAAAAAAATGAGACGTACATCTTTGCAGTTTTCAGATTTGGAAAAATGAATCAGGTCATCATTGTACATGTCCTGGGTATTGAGCAAGTCACTATATTCCTTCTGGCTTAGGTCTTCTGGATTGATTCCATTTGCCCTCAGAAATTCCTGGTACGCCACGCTAAATGCTTGACCTATGGACTGTGCAATCAGCTGTGCCTGTAGCAATGTCCAAAGAAGAAAATATCAAAACATTCTGATGGTCTCATTCACTGACACTCTCTTTCTGTTATAATCATTCTGCAAAATGGTTCCTGCCTACAAGTTAAGCTGCTGCAATCAATTAAAAAAAATATTTGAATCTAAAGTAATAATTAAAAAAAAAAACACACAACAGAAAAGAGTCAGCACAGTCACCCATGCAGTGAACCCAGCTCAAAAACCAATTATAAATAAGAAACACAAGTAAAACCTTCCTTTCAGAGGTAACAGCTGCTAACGTAAAGGTTTACCCATTGCATTGCTTGAAATTGAGACTGCAGAGGGAGACCTTTAGCTCTCACCTGCCCTCTTCCAATACATGAAGATCCCAAATAGCTTTCTGCTTCTGCCAGAAGCAATGTTACATTGACGAGTCACCAGTAAAAAATAAAAACATGCTCTAAAATACACACAACATGAAAAAAGATATAAAAAGGCCTTTAAAAGAAGGCCAACAGCATCCTGGGCTGCATTAGGAAGAGCATCACCAGCAGGTCGAGGGAGATGATCCCTCAGCACTGGTGAAGCCACACCTGGAGTGCTGTGTCCAGTTCTGGGCTTCCCAGTACAAGACGCGGACATACTGGAGTGAGTTCAATAAAGGATCATGAAGATGATTACGAGATTGGAGCATCTGATTTAGGAGGAGAGGCTGAGAGAGCTGGGACAGTTTAGCCTGGAGAAGAGAAGGCTCTGAGGGTTATCAATGTGTATAAACACCTGATGGGGAGGAGTAAAGAAGATGGAGCCAGGCTCTTCTCAGTGGGGGCCAGTGACAGGACAAGAGGCAATGGGCACAAATTGAAATACAAGAAATTCCCGTTAAATGTAAGAAAAAACTTGTTCACTGTGAGGGTAGTTAAACACTGAAACAGGTTGTCCAGAGAGGTTGTGGACTCTCCATCCTTGGAGATATTCCAAACCCAACTGGACGAGGCCCTGAGCAACCTGCTCTAGTTGACTCTGCTTTGAGCAGGGGAAGGGGGAGTAGACTAGATGACCTCCAACAGTTCTTTCCAATCTCAAGTATTCTGTGATTCTAAGATATTTCCTCTTCTTCCCACGCTCCTTTCTTTTAAAATTATCACAGTGGTGTTTGCAGTTACTATCAGATGAAGTGGGGAAAGGGTGGGAACTACTGGCCCATTGAGTGGATCCAGCCCTTAACGTGACTGGAAATGGTCCACAGTGCTCAAAGCAGGGTCAGCTATGAGTTCAGACAAGGTTATTTAGGGCTTTATTTAGTCAGATATTGAAAACCTTCAAGGACAGAGACTACACAACCTCTCTGGGCAACCTGTTCCACTCCTTGACTGTCCTCACAGTGAAAAAGTTTTTCCTTGTATCCAGTCAGAACCTCTTTTGTTTCAACTTGTGCCCATTGCCTCTCATCCTCCTACCATGTACCACTGTGAAGAGCCTGGCCCCATCTTCTTGATGACCTCCTCATAGGCATTGGAAGGCTGCTATTAGGCCCCCCTGAAGCCTTCTCTTCTCCAGGCTGAATAAGCCCTGTTCCCTCAGCCTCTCCTCATAGGGCAAGTGCTCCAGCCCCCTGACCAGCTTGGTGGCCCTCCACTGAACTCATTCCAGTTTGTCAATGCTTTTCTTGCATTTGGGGGCCCAAAACTGGACCCAGTATTCTAGATGTGGTCTAATGAGTGCTGAGTAGAGGGGGGAGAATCACTTCCCTTGGTCTACTGGTTGCACTCCTGTTAATCCAGCCCAGGGTGCTGTTAGCCTTCATCACTGCCAGGGCACGCTGCTGGCTCATGTTCAGCTTGCTGCCTACCAAGACCCCCAGGTAATTTTGGCAGAGCTGCTCCCCAGCCTGTACTGATGCCAGGGGTTCTTCCTTCCCAGGTGCAGGACTTGGCATTTGTCCTTGTTGTATTCTATGAATGAATTTCATTGGGCTTCTAGCACATTCTACCTATTCTACACAGCTCTATCCTATGCCTGCAGCTTCTTCTTGGCCACTCTACACCTAAAGCTACTGGATGCTCCATAGCTTTCACTCACTATTCTACATTACTCCCTGTGAGCTGTTCTAGCTCCCACCACCTGCTACTGTTGGTAGAGATTGGGGTGGGGTAGAGGACATAGTCAGGTAAAGAGAAAGTTCTGTGCCATGCAAGGAAGCAGCTGAAAATAGCAGACTATTGGAATCCTTTGTTTTAAGGTGGTGATCAAGGTAAAGTTAGAATGATACACATACTGGGTGCAAGTGGAAAGCAACATAGCATGAGTGCAGAGCATATAGGAGCAGTTGAGAAAACTGGGTGTGGAGCAGTGCTGTGTATAACCAGAGTGTTGGGTGTAGGAAGCACTGTGGAGTGTAATGGTGCTGGTCACAGTGTGGAATGAAACTGCCCTCTGGTAGGTAGTGCTGGTTTGGAGGGAAAGCAGATGGGAGGACTCCATAGCCTACTGCGTGAGGGTATGCAGGAACACCGCTAAGGTGTGTTTTTACATGCAGCTTGCCAACTGTATTTGTAAGTCCAATTCAGGCCTCAGTAAGGAAAAGATTCCCAATACTGAAATAAAAACTGGTTGCATCTTAAAACTACTCAAGCTAGCTCTAAACCTGTTGATGACAACAGCATGATTGCTGGCACTGAAAAGGCAACAGCACACACAGTGTCTGGACTAGCATTATTTTGCCAACATTCAAATCAAAACAATTTGATGGCAAGAACAAGATGTCAAGAAGATGAGAGCACTACAACTCAATAGCTCAGTAAGTGATCTGCAAGAGGAAATAAATATGGACTTGTACATTCAGGTGCATACATTGAGAATGACTTCCAAGAGATCAACTGCCATTTGGCAGCATTTGGTCATATTCTGGGAGCTGAGCCGTTTTGAAGATCCAGCCCCAACTACACTTGGAAAATCTGGTGTTGTGGTTTTTTTTTTGTTTTTTTTTTTTAAGATAAGGATAGTTCCAAGCAGGGACACATTTTGGCCATCACACATTTGAGGGCTTAAGGTATATCACAGTCAGGTACTGGATAAATTTTTCTAGATACTCAGCTGCCCCAGAAGAAGAAAAAATAACAGTAAAATATGTAAGATTTATATATAAAAGAGGGTCTATTACTCCATTAGAGTTACAAGCTCTTTAGAGTGGAAATCTCTGCTGCTAACAGATACAATAATATTTTTGTTCTAACTCTTTCCAAATTATATTTTACCTACTCATTTGGATTTTTTAGAATGCTTCGCAAGCTATTATTTTGAACTGCTCTATGACTGAGGAAAGCTGATCTCCTGAAAATTTTCAGAATATTTTCAGACTACTGAGCGATCAATGCTTTTTTTTGGACCTACGGACATGTACTTTCCAGGCCAATATTTACTGGCACAGGAAGGATCACATCTGACACAAATATGAAATCATCTGACTAAACCACAGAAGGTAATGACAACAATCCTATAATGGAAGCACAGGTTTTGAATAGACAAGAAAACACTGAGAAATAGATCCAGGAAGACTGGATGATAGTCAGGCTATCATATTCTGAAAGAAAATAAACCATTGCCTCTGGCATCTGACAATTTGATCTTTGCCTTTTTCAACTGGCCAGTGAGAGAGAGTCCAGTAACATACAAAATCTGTGATTTGAAATACAGAAGCAACAGCCTCAAACCAGGCAGCACATCTATTGATATTAAGTCCAAAAAACATAAGCTAGTCTTTCTGTTTGCACACCAATTTCATGAAGGGCATTACAAGAAGTGTGGCTTATATGCTATTTTGCATAAAAATCAATTTTTTAGGTTCTCTGTCAAATTAATTTTGGTACCTCTAAAAAGCAAAGCAAGAGCACTGAAAATCCCAGCAGTGGATTGCATGTGTATCTGCAGCCACAGATTTGATATGAACATGGTGCCTTCAGAATAGGTTCCCAAATACATAAAATCAGCCACTTCTTAAAGGAAACCTTTGCATCTGAAAGCCCTTACAAATATATTCTGTGGAGCAGAAGACATTTAAGGCATTAATGAGAAAATAATATTTTCACTTAATTTTTTAATTAGTTCAATATACTCTGAATTGTACTGGAAAGTCTTTCTGAAGCCTAGGTGAGGTGCAAGGCACAAGAAGCAGAAATAGGCTATTACCTCACCATCTGTAATTTGGGCAGGATACCTCAACTGGCATCATCGCTGTAGCCTAAATATTAATTTTCACATGGGAGTGGTTCCTCTCGCTCTGTGTAAGCCACCTGACTGGCATAAATACAGTGGTTGCCATGGAGGCATATAATATTCTCTTATTTGGAGGGCTGAGCACTAAGTGAAATTTGCTGTCTTCCCAATTAGATAGCACTGTGTGACATCGTATTATTTGAGGCTAACCTGATTATGAGACTGACAGCTGTATATCTACCAACTTCAATTTGAGGTATTTGTGTATCCCCTCCCCCCAATTATTTAGTTTAGTTTAAAAAACCCACTACATAAAACCAGTAAATTAGGTGCATTTATATTTATTTCCCAAATGTTTGGGTTTTAATTAGCGAGGACAGATTTGATAACGGACAACTCAGTAAGCCCTCTGTGGGGGCACTTGCACACCAACACTTGGTAACATGGCCTGGATAACAACAGCTGATAAATAGGGATGTTAGTGTAACAGTGGGTGTGAATGGGACACCCGCAACTGTCTGAGAGGGCATTTGCCCCAAACTGATAACACTAAAGAGGAAGACGACCACTTTGATCCTGATTTGATTTAAATCACATGAACTGAGCATTTTTCCCCCTGTGGCATCCTCTACCTCATACGTATTCACTCAGATGTGTCTCTTTACAGGACGTGTCTCTTTTACAGGATTTTTTTTTGGAATGATTTCATCAGCTCCTGAACTCCAGCCTCATATCATAAGGAAATCCAAACAAAAAAGCCAAAACACCCCTTTATGGCATATATCACTGACCCTTGTGGCAACTGTAGGGAATAGAAGCTCCCTATGGAAATAAGCTGCTTTGATGGATGTTCACTCTCACAGGCAGATCCTGAGCTGGTATATGTAAGCTGTGGCAACAGTGTTCTTTTAGAACCTGCCCCTCATTGTCACTAGAAAGTATTAAATTCACATAAACATAGGAAGTTCTTCTATAAATACTAACTTTGCAAGTAAAACACCAGGTCCCAACATACAAACAGAAGGTAAGTTCCTCTACTTAGATGAAATATTTTTATGCAATTAACAAACAAACCAAACAGGACCACTGGTGATGGACTTTAAGCCTGTCAAGATGAACTCATATTTTACCTCCAAGAAAAATCACAAGATAGTAAAATTCCTTACATCCTCAGACTCAAAGACGTGACAAATCATTTTGTATTGCCTTTTTCCATCTTGGGAGGGGTGAGATGCTTCCACATTGTCCTGGGAATTTGATCGCGGCATTCGTCTACGAGCCATCAGAACCACTATATTCCCTATATCCGCAATGTAAGAAATGGTCCTCAGAGGATGATCCATCATAGTTTCCTGGAGGATAGAAAAAACAGTATCAGCAGTTGTTTTAAGCAAGTTCTTATTGCACTTCTGGTGTTTTATAAACAGATCAATGGCAGTTTGAGATCTTTGTTAAGTGTCTATAAAAAGGAAAGAAGTCTGTATGAAAGGAGGTGTCAAGAGGAACCAACAGCCTCACTTTCAATAAACAAATAAAAAAAGCACATTTTGAAAATTAAAGTTATATTTACTGTGGAAAAGAACACAGACTTGGGTGTCTTGGCCTGAACACACACAACATAGAGAGGACTAAGGACTTCAAGTTAGTTATCACAACCAATTGCTTTAGGCTACTCTGGGGATGATTGATACTTGTCATGTTATGGTACTAGACTACCTAGAATGTTGGATAATGTGAACAAAGCTTCTTATCAGAAGTGGGCTGACTGCAATTAGCATACTTGCCAACACTATCATTTTCTAGAGTCAGACACATCAGGCATGCGTGACATGATTCTTGAGCATGAATTTCTGACCAGGAAATCTTGGAGGGAAATATAAGAGCCAGCACTGATGTTACTTCAGGGGAGCTAAGAAAGTCACATTTTGGCAGGTAGATGAAGGTCTATTTCAATGAACTATTATTACAATACTGACAAGGCCTGACCTGGCAAAGGTGCTTCTTTGTCTATACCTGCATGTCTGCATTCAATACTTTTATTCTCTGTGTAGAAATGAAGAGGTCCACTTCAGTCATGGGTTGAGATTCACCTTCTGGAGCCTACAGATAAATGGAATAGAGTCAACAACATTAGGTAACATCCTTAATAACGTAAATAGATCACAAACAAGGGCACACTAAGACACAGTCACCAGAACAGCAATGCAGAACAGAGTATTAGATTGCAGAAGTTAAAGATAAACACAAAGATATGGAATCCCTGCATTAGATATGAAAGTGAGTTACATGTCATTTGTAAAATTTTTAATCCCATAAAAGCCACCCTTGACTACCTTCTTGATCCAATAAAGTTATAAACTACTGCAACATGAACTGTATAAACATTCCATGAAAATCAAACTGATTCTCCTCCACATGATACCTGCTTTAAAGAAGGCCATATATAGGACTAAAGGTATCTCTTGCCTGGAGAACTTCTGTATGGGCTAACAACAGTGACTGCTCAGAGTAATGGAAAAATGTGTGCCACAGCTGCAGTTTTAAAGAACTTATAGTGCAGTTCTAGTAAGAGGGTTTTCACAGTCAGACAAAATAGTATTTAAAGCACTAATTCACTCCAGAAGCCATACCTTTGCAAACAAAAAGCAAATGCTTACATTTTTAAGTACCTTTTAACAAATCCAATAACTCTAAGAACTCCATATTCATATTACTAAAATATGAGTCAGTCAGCATATAATTGTGCGTGTATATTTTTTCCCTTTTTTGCATCCAGCAATTTGACACATCTGTAAATCAAGCAAAACACTTCATAGAAGAATAAAAAGGTACTTGTTTTTTAATCTAATGGTTTACAGAAAACCTTTGCCACATTAGTCCTATTTCTTTGGTATGTATTTTGTGTACTGACTGTATCCCTTTGATAAATCCAATCTTTAACCTATTTCTAACATGAAATGGCTAATGATAAGCAACAAAAATGGCCAACTAGTCAACTGATTTCTGAGAAATGTCAACTGGTATAGTGGCTCAGAAATAAACCTAAACAAAACTTGCTGGATGCAGAAAATTAAAAGCACAAAATACAAAGGCAAAAAAAAAAAAAAAAGAAAAAGGTATAACATCAAACTGATGGAGGTTGTACTGCACCTTCTTCCTGCCTTTGGCTAATTTCTGGGCCATCTGCTTAGCATGGAATAAACAGAGATAGGAGAATGGTTAGAGAAGAAACAGGAATCTATACACTAATGCCAGGGCTCAGTCTACTAGCTGTTCTAGATTAGTCTCCGCTTAGATTAATTTTCCCCCCTTTTCTTTTTGGCTTATGAAAGAAAGTTTCATGTTTAACACAGTTTAAAAAAATGAAAAGAAATCTGCACCAGGAGAAAACATAAAAGGATTTTTTCCCATTTAAACATTACTCTGAAGAAACAGCTTTCCCCTCCCCCTGCTGAGAGCCTCTCCTCATTTACAGCAGTACAAATTGCGAATAACTCCTCTGAAATAACATCAGTGTAAGATTTGAGAAGAATCCCACCCGTTATTATTCCAACTCTCTGAGATCTAAAGAATTTACATTCAAATTGCTTAATGGTCTCACACACACACGCACGCAATCTTAAAAAAAACCCAAAAAACAAAAAAAACCAAAAAAATCCCAGAAATATGTCAATTTTTTTCTGGAAAAACAGAACAATAGAGGGATATCTGACTGAACCCTTCTGCCCCCAGCTCCCTCTCCTCCCATGCAAATGCACCTATGCATTTGGAGATCAGGTTTTCCTGTGACACCTTTATAAAGATATTTCTATACCATCACATTCTTCCAAGAATGAGGAAGAGAATATACTTCCTAAACACCTGAAATCGTCTGCGTTCATGAAGCAGTATTACTATAACTGTTTGTAATTACTTTATATCCAAAGATATTTCATCCTAATCCCAAGGAGGGGGGGGAACAACTTATGGCCTGAACTTATAGACCAGTTTATTGAAGAAATGCAAGATTCACCATACTGGCAAATATCATTTCTACTTCCAACAGTAACATCTCCTCTTAGCTAATTAAGTTAACAGGTGTTCTGTGGGGGGCAAGAGTCTATCATGCCAGACTTTTGTTACACTAAAAATTTTTTATGGGCAAAGAGGAAGCACACCTTATACATAGAGAGAGCCAAAAATTTACTGTTAGCATAACTGAAATCTTAACAGCTTAACCATTATTAGTCTAGATCTAATTATTATAGAAAAAGAAAGAATAATAATACATTTAAAATTGTTATATACACACTCCTTAGTTTCTACCCCATTCCTGGTGTTGTTTCCCCTGCTCCTCTTGGTCCTAAGGTTGGTGGTTTCATTCTGATGGTGGTTGTGGGGAGTTGTTACGACGAGTTGTCAGCATCTGCAGCCCTTCACCAGGAATATGATGTTCGTGCTGATGACTTCTTCTTCACTCTAGAATCCACTTGGGGTCATTTTTATATGTTTGCTAACATGCTTTTACACCTTTGCTCTTTCATCATTGATCTGCAGCTCCACATTACATCCAAATTTACGATAATATGGTGGCTTTTACATATGCTAGATACTATTTCTGTGTTCTCTTTGTTACCCCTAAAACCAGTTTTGCTTAGCTCCAGGTCTGCATTACTTGAACTGACCATTAGTGAATTGTTTATAGCTGTGGGGTCTCCAGTGCCAAGCCCGTGCCCCATCACTTATTATCCCATGCCTGCACTCCTCTACACTGTATCCTGTGTGTCTACTTCTCAAGGCCTCTGTTATCATACCAGGACTGTATTTCTCTACGCTACATCATTATGTTAGAGTCATAAAACCATGGTGGCACCATACAAAAGTAAATCAAATTAGCCATAGATACCTGGTCAATTGGAGAAATTGCTGTTACAGCTAACACCATGTTAAAACAAAGCTGCAGGCAGGTCAGGAAAAGTTCAGACAGAGCAAGCCTGACAATCCTAAGTTCTGAGGCCTTGCAAACTCAGCACAAAGCTTATGGCCTATTACTAGCAATGGCAATACTGTATTATAGAGCTATAGGATAACACTTTATAGATAGAGAGTCATGACAAATTAGTATTAGGAAGAGCCAGAAACAGAAAGCCTGAATCATGGATGCACTGAATATTTTACATTCAAGTTCACAACTGAAGTCTGCTGGTTTTACTTTAAATCACTCTGAAAGCAACTGCTGAAACATTAGATTCTGCTTATTTACAAATAAAAACAAACATTTTCACATCCTCTCTAATCATCCTTTTCAGATAGAGAAATATACTATAGTTTGCTATCACCAGGCTATTGCAAAAGCAGTTGCAACTGGCCCATACTGAAGTCTCTTCATTAAATTGACACTGACATTCAGAAATAACATATGCATCCCGAACAACAGCTGCTGCACACACTGGTGTTTTGTTTTGTTTTTTAAACTCTCAAGATAAGGAATTTTAACTGTTCCCCAAAATCAAGTTATTTTCCAGACAAAACTAGAAACTGTACAGAATGTCACACAAAAAGAAAAGCACATGTCAAAAAGGGAAAGGAAAAAGTCTCCTTGAGCTACAGCTCTACGATGCATATACTATGCCAAAGGTGACTCAAAATATCCTATTATGTACATTATTCAGAATTCTGCTTTCAAATTCAATGGGAGCAGCATCAGTTCGCAGTTTTATTTCAGCTTATTGGTGAATGATTTTCTAATATTTCATAAAAGTAATATAATGGTATGGAACAGCTACTCATGCTTAAGAAATAATTAACGCAGTAAAGAAATGTTATGAAAGAAGCTGATATTTGTAACCATCTAACAAAGGAAAGTTACCCATTAAAACAACAGTCCATGCAAGAGGCATGATCAGACAAATCCTACTGCACCATCAAATCATTTTTGCTGGTTCTTTCTATGCCCTTAGAACAACACTGAGTCCAAGCATTTCATTTAAGGAGCAAGGCTCAAATCTGCTGATGAAAATAAAAACTCTAATTAATCACTACTTTATATGCAAAGCCTAACAATCATTCTGAACAGGTCGACTGTAAGGCAGAAAGAATCTGACATTTCCTAGATTGAACTTTCTGCATGCACTCAGATCAACTGCCTGTGCCCAGACCATGTTGGGCCTAACGCTTTCAAATCTGGAACTACTGGTATTAATGGGAAGCAGATACAACATCCTCACTTTTATAATAATTTGTTTTTTAAATCTATTCTAGCCCAGCAAACGTTAACTTTTCTGTATTGTTAAAAGCATTAAATAAATCCAATAGAAGTAAAACATGGAAAGATACTTCCTTCCATGCTATTTCAAAAATGATAGAGAGTATGGCTGGAAAAAGGCAAATGGGAAAGTACCTTTAAGTGAACTCAAGTCACTTGAGTTTAATGAATGCCTACAAAGCATTAGTAGACTTAGTCAGACTTCACAGAGAAAAGGGCCAGGGGGAGCGGTAAATGCCACAATCCTCTTTTTGACCTTTAACAAAAAAGATACTCATTTAAAGAAAGCGTAGGAAAAGACTGTCCAAAATCTAAACGTGTGGTCTAAAGTCAGTTCTATCTGCTATAAGGAAGCATTACCAGAGACCTTTGTCAAGAGGCTGGCCAACCTTGTAAGAAGAGCTTTAAACTAGGAACAATGGGGGAGGAAGAAAATGACCATCGATCAAGTAAGGAAGTGGTAGATGGGGTTGGCAAGCAAAGGGTCTAGGGTGATGTGAAAAGGGACCTCTTAATCAACAAAACAGGGCTAAAGTGGAGTCACCTCAAGTGTATGCCCATATATAAGGAAGTGCCTACCAGACAGAACTATGGGGAAAGCTCTCATGCCCTTTCTGGGAAGTCAGCATGCTGGGGTGCCTCTCTGAAGTGCCTGTACACTAATGCACGTAGCATGGGGAATAAACAGGAGGAATTAGAAGTCTCCGTGCAGTTACAGGGCTATGATCTCATTGGGATCACAGAGATATGGTGAGACAGCCCACATGACTGGAGCGATGCCATGGATGGATACAGGCTCTTCAGGAAGGACAGGCTAGGAAAGCGAGGAGGGAGAGTTGCCCTTTATGTGAGAGAGCAGCTAGAATGCATAGAGCTCTGCTTAGGGATGGGTAAGAGGCCAGATGAGAGCTCATGGGTCAGGATTAGAGGGCAGACCAACATGGGCGACATTGCTATGGGTGTCTGCTATAGAACGCCTGATCGGGAAGCAGAAGTAGTTGAGGCCTTCTTCAGGCAACTGAAAGAAGCTTCACGTTCGCAGGCCCTGGTCCTCATGGGGGACTGGAACCACCCTGATATCTGCTGGAGGGACCACACAGCAGGGCACAAGCAATCCAGGAGGTTCCTGGAGAGAATTGATGACAACTTCCTGATACAGGTGATCGAGAAGTCAAAGGGAGGCACTCTACTGGACCTCATACTAATAAACGAGGAAAGACTGGTGAGGGATAGCCCTGGCTGCAGTGAGCATGAAATGGTGGAGTTGAGGATCCTGAGAGGA